GGGAGAGGGTGAGGGATACGGGAGAGGTGAGAGGGGAGAGGTGAGAGGGGAGATAGGGAGGTGAGAGGGTAAAGGTGAGAGGTGAGAGGGTGAAAGGTTAGAGATGAAAGGTGAGAGGTGAGAAGGGAAAGGTGAGAGGTGAGAGGGAAAGTTGAGAGGTCATAGGGGAAAGGTGAAAGGTGAGAGGTGAGAGGGTAAAAGTTGAGAAGTGAGAGGTGAGAGTGAGAAGTGAGAGGTTAAAGGTGAGAGGGGGAAGGTGAGAGGTGATAGGGGAAAGGTTACCAGGTGAGAGGTGAGAGGGGAAGGTGAGAATTGAGAGGTGAGAAGTGAGAGGTGAGAAGTGAGAGGTGAGAATTGAGAGGGGAGAGGTGAGAGGTAGCCCCCCCGTGGTCCGGGTACTAGGGGGGGGGGGGGGAGACACACGAGCCGTGTGGACTCAACATCGCTACATCTCATCACGACAAACACCACGACACGCCCACGTCCCCTCCTTGTTTGACCTGTCACAGTTTGGGTCATTAACCCCCCCTCAACGACCCCCTTCACCCCCCCCCCCCTTGGCCCTGCTAATGTACTCTATGTCCCCCCCTAAACCCCATCTTTTCCCCCCCCCCTCTTTCCATCTTCTGTTGCTCGCTCTGACAGTTGTTGGCTCTGACAGTTGTTGGCTCTGACAGTTGTTGGCTCTGACAGTTGTTTGGCCCTGACAGTTGTTGACGCTGACAGTTGTTGGCTCTGACTGACAGATGTTGGGCTCTCACAGTTGTTGGCCCTGACAGTTTGTTGGCTCTGACAGTTGTTGGCTCTGACAGTTGTTGACGCTGACAGTTGTTGGCTCTGACAGTTGTTGGCCCTCACAGTTGTTGGCCCTCACAGTTGTTGGGCCTGACAGTTGTTGGCCTGACAGTTGTTGCCCTGCACGAAGTTGTTGGCCTGACAGTTGTTGGCTCTGACAGTTGTTGGCCCTGACAGTTGTGGCCTGACTGACAGTTGTTGGCTCTGACAGTTGTTGGCTCTGACAGTTGATGGCTCTGACAGTTGTTGGCTCTGACAGTTGAGGCTCTGGCTCGACAGTGTTGGCTCTCACAGTTGAGGGCTCCGACAGTTGTTGGCTCTCACAGTTGTTGACTCTGACAGTTGATTTGCTCTCACAGTTGTTTGGCCCTGACAGTTGTTGGCTCGGACAGTTGTTGACTCTGACAGTTGTTGGCCCTGACAGTTTGGCTCTCACAGTTGTTGGCCTGACAGTTGTTGGTGGCTGACAGTTGTTGGCTCTGACAGATGTTGGCTCTCACAGTTGTTGGCCCTGACAGTTGTTGGCTCTCACAGTTGTTGGCCCTGACAGTTGATGGCTCTGACAGTTGTTGGCCCTGACAGTTGTTGGCTCTCACAGTTGTTGGCTCTCACAGTTGTTGACTCTGACACTGACAGTTGTTGGCTCTGACAGATGTTGGCTCTCACAGTTGTTGGCCCTGACAGTTGTTGGCTCTGACAGTTGTTGGCTCTGACAGATGTTGGCTCTCACAGTGTTGGCCCTGACAGTTGTTGGCTTGGCTCGACAGTTGTGACTCTGACAGTTGTTGGCTCTGACAGATGTTGGCTCTGACAGTTGTTGGCTCTGACAGATGTTGGCCCTGACAGTTGTTGGCGCTGACAGTTGTTGGCTCTGACAGTTGTTGGCTCTGACAGTTGTTGGCTCTGACAGATGTTGGCTCTGACAGATGTTGGCTCTCACAGTTGTTGACCCTGACAGTTGTTGGCTCTGACAGTTGTTGGCTCTGACAGTTGTTGGCTCTGACAGATGTTGGCTCTCACAGTTGTTGGCCCTGACAGTTGTTGGCCCTGACAGTTGTTGGCTCTGACAGTTGTTGGCCCTGACAGTTGTTGGCTCTGACAGTTGTTGGCCCTGACAGTTGTTGGCCCTGACAGTTGTTGGCCCTGACAGTTGTTGGCTCTGACAGTTGTTGGCTGACAGTTGTTGACGCTGACAGTTGTTGGCCCTGACAGTTGTTGGCCCTGACAGTTGTTGGCCCTGACAGTTGATGGCTCTGACAGTTGTTGGCTCTGACAGTTGATGGCTCTGACAGGTTGTTGGCCCTGACAGTTGTTGGCCTGACAGTTGTTGGCTCTGACAGTTGTTGGCCCTGACAGTTGTTGGCTCTGACAGTTGTTGACTCTGACAGTTGTTGGCGCTGACAGTTGATGGCTCTGACAGTTGTTGGCTCTGACAGTTGATGGCTTTGACAGTTGTTGGCTCTCACAGTTGTTGGCTCTGACAGTTGATGGCTCTGACTCTGACAGTTGTTGGCCCTGACAGTTGTTGGCTCTCACAGTTGTTGGCTCTGACATGGCTCTGACAGTTGTTGGCCCTGACAGTTGTTGGCTCTGACTGGCTCTGACAGTTGTTGACTCTGACAGTTGTTGGCCCTGACAGTTGTTGGCCCTGACAGTTGTTGGCTCTCACAGTTGTTGGCTCTGACAGTTGTTGGCCCTGACAGTTGTTGGCTCTCACAGTTGTTGGCTCTGACAGTTGTTGGCTCTGACAGTTGTTGGCCCTGACAGTTGTTGGCTCTGACAGTTGTTGACTCTGACAGTTGTTGGCTCTCACAGTTGATGGCTCTGACAGTTGTTGGCCCTGACAGTTGTTGGCCCTGACAGTTGTTGGCCCTGACAGTTGTTGGCTCTCACAGTTGTTGGCTCTGACAGTTGTTGGCCCTGACAGTTGTTGGCTCTCACAGTTGATGGCTCTGACAGTTGTTGGCCCTGACAGTTGTTGGCTCTGACAGTTGTTGGCTCTGACAGTTGTTGGCCCTGACAGTTGTTGGCCCTGACAGTTGTTGGCTCTGACAGTTGTTGGCTCTGACAGTTGTTGGCTCTGACAGTTGTTGGCTCTGACAGTTGTTGGCTCTGACAGTTGTTGGCTCTGACAGTTGTTGGCTCTGACAGTTGTTGGCTCTCACAGTTGTTGGCTCTCACAGTTGTTGGCCCTGACAGTTGTTGGCTCTCACAGTTGTTGGCTCTGACAGTTGTTGGCTCTGACAGTTGTTGGCCCTGACAGTTGTTGGCACTGACAGTTGTTGGCTCTGACAGTTGTTGGCTCTGACAGTTGTTGGCTCTGACAGTTGTTGGCTCTGACAGTTGTTGGCCCTGACAGTTGTTGGCTCTGACAGTTGTTGGCTCTGACAGTTGTTGGCTCTGACAGTTGTTGGCCCTGACAGTTGTTGGCTCTGACAGTTGTTGACTCTGACAGTTGTTGGCTCTGACAGTTGTTGGCCCTGACAGTTGTTGGCTCTGACAGTTGTTGGCTCTGACAGTTGTTGGCTCTGACAGTTGTTGGCCCTGACAGTTGTTGGCTCTGACAGTTGTTGGCTCTGACAGTTGTTGGCTCTCACAGTTGTTGGCTCTCACAGTTGTTGGCTCTCACAGTTGTTGACTTTGACAGTTGTTGGCTCTGACAGTTGTTGGCTCTGACAGTTGTTGGCTCTGACAGTTGTTGGCTCTGACAGTTGTTGGCTCTGACAGTTGTTGGCTCTGACAGTTGTTGGCTCTGACAGTTGTTGGCTCTGACAGTTGTTGACTTTGACAGTTGTTGGCTCTGACAGTTGTTGGCTCTGACAGTTGTTGGCTCTGACAGTTGTTGGCTCTGACAGTTGTTGGCTCTGACAGTTGTTGGCCCTGACAGTTGTTGGCTCTGACAGTTGTTGGCTCTGACAGTTGTTGGCCCTGACAGTTGTTGGCTCTGACAGTTGTTGGCTCTGACAGTTGTTGGCTCTGACAGTTGTTGGCTCTGACAGTTGTTGGCTCTGACAGTTGTTGGCTCTGACAGTTGTTGGCTCTGACAGTTGTTGGCTCTGACAGTTGTTGGCTCTGACAGTTGTTGGCTCTGACAGTTGTTGGCTCTCACAGTTGTTGGCTCTCACAGTTGTTGGCTCTGACAGTTGTTGGCTCCGACAGTTGTTGGCTCTGACAGTTGTTGGCTCTCACAGTTGTTGGCTCTCACAGTTGTTGGCTCTCACAGTTGTTGGCTCTGACAGTTGTTGGCTCTGACAGTTGTTGGCTCTGACAGTTGTTGGCTCTGACAGTTGTTGGCTCTCACAGTTGTTGACTTTGACAGTTGTTGGCTCTCACAGTTGTTGACTCTCACAGTTGTTGACTCTCACAGTTGTTGACTCACAGTTGTTGACTCTGACAGTTGTTGGCTCTCACAGTGTTGACTCTCACAGTTGTTGACTCTCACAGTTGTTGACTCTCACAGTTGTTGACTCTCACAGTTGTTGGCTCTCACAGTTGTTGGCTCTCACAGTTGTTGGCTCTGACAGTTGTTGGCTCTCACAGTTGTTGGCTCTCACAGTTGTTGGCTCTCACAGTTGTTGGCTCTCACAGTTGTTGGCTCTCACAGTTGTTGGCTCTCACAGTTGTTGGCTCTCACAGTTGTTGGCTCTCACAGTTGTTGACTCTCACAGTAGCTGGCTCACACAGTTGTTGGCTCTGACAGTTGTTGACTCACAGTTGTTGGCTCTGACAGTTGTTGGCTCTCCCAGTTGTTGGCTCTGACAGTTGTTGGCTCTGACAGTTGTTGACTCTGACAGTTGTTGGCTCTGACAGTTGTTGACTCTCACAGTTGTTGGCTCTCACAGTTGTTGGCTCTCACAGTTGTTGGCTCTCACAGTTGTTGGCTCTCACAGTAGCTGGCTCTCACAGTAGCTGGCTCACACAGTAGCTGGCTCTCACAGTAGCTGGCTCACACAGTAGCTGGCTCACACAGTAGCTGGCTCACACAGTAGCTGGCTCTCACAGTAGCTGGCTCACACAGTAGCTGGCTCACACAGTAGCTGGCTCACACAGTAGCTGGCTCACACAGTAGCTGGCTCTCACAGTAGCTGGCTCTCACAGTAGCTGGCTCTCACAGTAGCTGGCTCTCACAGTAGCTGGCTCACACAGTAGCTGGCTCTCACAGTAGCTGACTCTCACAGTTGCTGACTCTCACAGTAGCTGGCTCTCACAGTTGCTGACTCACAGTTGTTGGCTCTCACAGTTGCTGGCTCTCACAGTAGCTGGCTCACACAGTAGCTGGCTCACACAGTAGCTGGCTCACACAGTAGCTGGCTCACACAGTAGCTGGCTCTCACAGTAGCTGACACTCACAGTTGCTGGCTCTCACAGTTGCTGGCTCTCACAGTTGCTGGCACTCACTGTAGCTGGCACTCACAGTTGCTGGCTCTCACAGTAGCTGACACTCACAGTTGCTGGCTCTCACAGTAGCTGACACTCACAGTAGCTGACACTCACAGTTGCTGGCACTCACAGTAGCTGGCTCTCACAGTTGCTTGGTCTCACAGTAGCTGGCTCTCACAGTAGCTGGCACTCACAGTAGCTGGCTCTCACAGTTGCTGGCTCTCACAGTTGCTGGCACTCACAGTAGCTGGCTCTCACAGTTGTTGGCTCTCACAGTAGCTGGCTCTCACAGTTGCTGGCTCTCACAGTAGCTGGCTCTCACAGTTGCTGGCTCTCACAGTAGCTGGCTCTCACAGTAGCTGGCTCTCACAGTTGCTGGCTCTCACAGTTGCTGGCTCTCACAGTAGGTGGCTCTCACAGTTGCTGGCTCTCACAGTAGCTGACACTCACAGTGACTGTTATTCACACTAGCTTATGTTTCCAGTAATTGGGACATAATTGATGACATTCACAGTACCGTTTATTAACAGTAGGTGGCTCTCAAAGTAACAGTGAAACATGAGTAGCACTTTCCATAGACTTCTGCCACAGTTTACATCCTGTAGAGACAAGTTTGAAGTTGAATTAGATCTAGGTATCCCCATCTCTGCTGTCAAAACTGTATTGGTCCAAACATTCAGATCTGATAGGAAAGAACTTACTGACTCCCAACGACCTGAAAGTAATAGTATAAAAAGCTATGATTTGTTCAGATCTGAAACCTACATCTATGGACAGCACAAAACGTCCACTAGACTGTGCGACACAGTGGTTGCAAGGATCAGGTTGGGTTACCGTTACCTGTGGCAGGTGGCTGCAGGTGACGGGTCTCCCAATCCTGAGCACTCCAGTTGCAAACTCTGTGAGCAGGAACTACGGCATGATCTCCCGCACTACATCACTGAATGCCCAGTTATTAGAACTTTCAGACCAGTTGGCATGAGGTACCTGGAGCTTTGCAATTACTTTATTCACTCTCGTATTCTTGAAGATATCCTCACAGTATACCTAAAATTTGCCAGTGCAGACTATTAAACACATGGCTCTGTATGACTAACCATCCTGCGAGATGGGGACTTGTATTACTACTGCTACCTTATTCAATCTTGTGTTGATGCTATCCTCAAAATGCATCCGGAGTCTGCCAGTGCAGACTGCTTATCACATGCCTCTGTATGACTAACCATCCTGTGTGATGGGGATTTTATAGCATCACCTAGTTAGCTTTTTTGACACACTATACTCCACTTCATATAGTCTAGGGTAGCTGCACTAATGCAGATGTACCTCATAACTTAATAAAAAAAAAAAAAAAAAAAAAGTAGAGACAGACATTGCAGCCAAATTAGCGTGTAACAAAGATGAAGTTGAATTAGATCTAGGTGTCCCCATCTCTGCTGTCAGGACTATGTTGGTCCAAACACTCAGGTCTGAAAGGACAGAAATTACTGACTCCCAACGACCTGAAAGTACTAGTATATAAAGCTGTGATTTGTTCAGATCTGAAACCTATGTTTATGGGCAGCACAAAACGTCGACCAGACTGTGCGACACAGTGGTTGCCAGGATCAGGTTGAGTTACCGTTACCTGTGGCAGGTGGCTACCGTTACCTGTGGCAGGTGGCTACCGTTACCTGTGGCAGGTGGCTACCGTTACCTGTGGCAGGTGGCTACCGTTACCTGTGGCAGGTGGCTACCGTTACCTGTGGCAGGTGGCTACCGTTACCTGTGGCAGGTGGTTACCGTTACCTGTGGCAGGTGGCTACCGTTACCTGTGGCAGGTGGCTACCGTTACCTGTGGCAGGTGGCTACCGTTACCTGTGACAGTTGGTTACCGTTACCTGTGGCAGGTGGCTACCGTTACCTGTGGCAGGTGGCTACCGTTACCTGTGGCATGTGGCTACCGTTACCTGTGGCAGGTGGCTACCGTTACCTGTGGCAGGTGGCTACCGTTACCTGTGGCAGGTGGCTACCGTTCCCTGTGGCAGGTGGCTACCGTTACCTGTGGCAGGTGGCTACCGTTATCTGTGGCAGGTGGCTACCGTTACCTGTGGCAGGTGGCTACCGTTACCTGTGGCAGGTGGCTGCCGTTACCTGTGGTAGGGGGCTACCGTTACTGTGGTAGGTGGCTACCGTTACCTGTGGCAGGTGGCTACCGTTACCTGTGGCAGGTGGCTACCGTTCCCTGTGGCAGGTGGCTACCGTTACCTGTGGCGGGGGGCTACCGTTACCTGTGGCAGGTGGCTACCGTTACCTGTGGCAGGTGGCTACCGTTACCTGTGGCAGGTGGCTGCCGTTACCTGTGGTAGGGGGCTACCGTTACCTGTGGTAGGTGGCTACCGTTACCTGTGGCAGGTGGCTACCATTACCTGTGTCAGGTGGCTACCGTTACCTGTGGCAGGTGGCTACCGTTACCTGTGGCGGGTGGCTACCGTTACCTGTGGCAGGTGGCTACCGTTACCTGTGGCAGGTGGCTACCGTTACCTGTGGCAGGTGGCTACCGTTACCTGTGGCAGGTGGCTACCGTTACCTGTGGCAGGTGGTTACCGTTACCTGTGGCAGGTGGCTACCGTTACCTGTGTCAGGTGGTAACCCCCCCCCTCCCATGCTGCACCCCACTATCGTCCCCCTCCCATGCTGCACCCCACTATCGTCCCCTCCCATGCTGCACCCCACTATCGTCCCCCTCCCATGCTGCACCCCACTATCGTCCCCCCCCTCCCATGCTGCACCCCACTATCGTCCCCCTCCCATGCTGCACCCCACTATCGTCCCCCTCCCATGCTACACCCCACTATCGTCCCCCCTCCCATGCTGCACCCCACTATCGTCCCCCCTCCCATGCTGCACCCCACTATCGTCCCCCCTCCCATGCTGCACCCCACTATCGTCCCCCCTCCCATGCTGCACCCCACTATCGTCCCCCTCCCATGCTGCACCCCACTATCGTCCCCCTCCCATGCTGCACCCCACTATCGTCCCCCTCCCATGCTGCACCACACTATCGTCCCCCTCCCATGCTGCCCCCCACTATCGTCCCCCCTCCCATGCTGCACCCCACTATCGTCCCCCTCCCATGCTGCACCCCACTATCGTCCCCCCTCCCATGCTGCACCACACTATCGTCCCCCCCTCCCATGCTGCCCCCCACTATCGTCCCCCTCCCATGCTGCACCACACTATCGTCCCCCCCTCCCATGCTGCCCCCCACTATCGTCCCCCTCCCATGCTGCACCCCACTATCGTCCCCCTCCCATGCTGCACCACACTATCGTCCCCCTCCCATGCTGCCCCCCCCACTATCGTCCCCCTCCCATGCTGCACCACACTATCGTCCCCCTCCCATGCTGCACCCCACTATCGTCCCCCTCCCATGCTGCACCCCACTATCGTCCCCCTTCCATGCTGCACCCCACTATCGTCCCCCCTACCATGCTGCACCCCACTATCGTCCCCCTACCATGCTGCACCCACTATCGTCCCCCCTCCCATGCTGCACCCCACTATCGTCCCCCCTACCATGCTACACCCCCCCCCCACCCTAATCACCCTCCCCTTAACCATCGAAGGATAGCCAGAGTCATCCCCCCACCAGCACTACCCACCACGGCCCCCAAGACCCACATTCCCCCGGGGGAGACACGCGCCCGTCACCCTTACGAACACCTGTCGTCTATCCCCCCTCTTGCCCCCAACACCACCAATAGGAGTTTGTAACTTTAGAATACAAAAATGACAGCCAGAGTGGAGGCTCCTGTCTTCATTATGTGCACGTGTGGCCCGCACGCACATGTCTGTACGTGTACGTGAGGCCGGCACGTACATGTGTGTGTACATGTGGGTGCACGTGTGGCCCACACGCACATGTGTGTGTACATGTGGGTGCACGTGTGGCCGACACGCACATGTCTGTGTACATGTGGGTGCACGTGTGGCCGACACGCACATGCCTGTGTACATGTGGGGTGCACGTGTGGCCGGCACGTACATGTGGGTGCACGTGTGGCCGACACGCACATGTGTGTGTACATGTGGGTGCACGTGTGGCCCACACGCACATGTCCGCGTACATGTGGGTGTACATAGCGTGTACACGCGGCCTGTAATGCACATACATGTGTGTGTTTATTGATCCTGGAGCTCATAGTGCATTGTAATTTTGACGCTTTAGATCATAACAGTGACCACAACAGTGACCACCACAACTGACCACAACAGTGACCACCACAACAGTGTCCACAACAGTGACCACAACAGTGACCACAACAGTGTCCACAACAGTGTCCACAACAGTGACCACAACAGTGTCCACAACAGTGTCCACAACAGTGTCCACAACAGTGACCACAACAGTGTCCACAACAGTGTCCGCAACAATGTCCACAACAGTGGCAGCTGTAACTGTACCTCATATGTACCCCCCCCATCTACAACATCTTAACAAGGCAGCAGACATAAGTAAGTAATTATCAGAGGAAGGCACCAAGCCGGGAAGGTTGTGTAGCACCACCAAACGTGCAGGATAATCAGAGGGCGCTAAATATCACCAAGGATGACAATACTAGAACAAAAACGCATAAGGCGAACGATATTAAAAGAGTCCGAGTCATCAAGAATACTATCGAGGGACAGGTGACCGCGAGGGACGGTCTGAAAGCAAGACACACGCTCGTCCTGGAAGTCAGGACATTCAACAAGGATATGTAAGACCGTAAGAGGGACAATGCAGTTAGGCCAATAAGGAGCAGGGCGGCGCTCCATGAAGTGTGAGTTAAGCGTGTACGGCCAATACGCAACCTCGCCAGAGCCGTTTCCCATCGCCGGTTACGGTGATAGGAGGACGGACACGGGGACACACGACTCTTAAGAGTACACAGTTGATTACAAACTGATTACAAACGGTTGAATTTAGTTAACACAGGTGAGGAAGAAAACTAGTAAGATATCGTCAGTGAGCAGTTGTAATTAGCGAGGGGGTCAATTAGCCAAGTAAGTAACGATGAGTAAGTGATTAAGGAGGTACAAGTAACTTACATCTCTCTAAAGCTTGACAACTACTGTTGACCAGACCACACACTAGAAGGTGAAGGGACGACGACGTTTCGGTCCGTCCTGGACCATTCTCAGGTCGATGACAGCTACTCTAAAGATCAGTCAGCGTGTAGAAGTGTTTGGGCCTCACTGCATTCACTAATGCTTTACAGAATCCCTATAATGTTTTACAGTGTTTTGTTTATAGTTCAGTATCTAATGTTTTACTGTATCTATGTAATGTTAAATAATGTTTATCAATGTTTCACTGAAGTAGTTTATCCAACCCGTCCTCAGAATAAGTCCATTCCATCCAGCGGTCGACCCCAAAGACACATTCATCACTTAACATGATGTTCATTCAAAATTGAACTTTTCTCAAATATAAATTAATATTTTTATATACTATCGTATCGTAAATATATAGGCAAAAGTTAGGTTAGGTGTTTAGGTTCTGTTGGCGATTATTTGTATTTGTAGTACGTGGGTGAAGCATTTATAGCGTTGTGGTTCGAACACAAGTCGTCAGTGAACAACCCGTTCTCGCACACAAAGATCCAAGCTCGTTAATCCAGCCGCCAAACCCCAGCTGTTTATGAATGAAAAACGGTTTACACACGACTCTCAACTGCTGACGTTCGAACACTTCCGGAATAAGTGCTTCACTGACGACTGTGTTCGAACCACAACGCTGTAAATGCTTCATCCACGTACTACAAATAATCGCCAACACAACCTAAACACCTAACCTAACCTACGCCAAACTATACATACAATTTTTATGTATAAGAATATTAATTTATACATGAGAACAAACCAATTTTTAATACACAGTATGTTAAAAATACTGAATGCGTATGGAGAGGACGGCCGCTGCTTTAACCAGCCTAGTGTGAGGGCGGGTTGTACATATACAAATAATCGCCAACAGAACCTAACCTAACCTATGCCTAAATATTTACGACATGGTAATATATAAAAATAATAATTTATATTTGAGAGAAAGTTCAAATTTGAATGAACGACATTAAAAAATTTACAAATGCGTGTGTGGGGTCGACCGCTGGATGGAATGGACGTGAGTCGAGGACAGGTTGTCAGAGACCCTGCTTGTCTACCTCTGCCTGAGTAAGGCGACGCTCTCTTACTCATCCAGTTACTGGCCACGAGTAACGAGGCTTAACCTACCTGACCGTGTAAAGCACATATCACCCACATGTATTATAAATATATAAAACTTTAGAGCAAATAAAAGCTTCAATCACATTGTTATTTGATCCATAGTTCTGGCAATATTAGAGAAGAGCTGAAGTAATACTTAAGAGTTTACACAAGTGTGAACCAACCTGCGAGCCAATTATGGATCGCTGCGTGTTAAAGCTGTTGACTGTTTCTTCAGGGAGAGAGTTACAGGCAGTGTATGTGCACCTCATGTGGTTAACGAGCAGTTAGGGTGGTGGTTGACCTGGTGGTGGTGGTGCCACGTGCTGGTCAGTGTGGAGGGCGGCACCAGGGCACCTGGTGACCACGTGTGTGTGTGTTGGTCAGTGCCTGTCGGAACATTTATATCAGGCACACACACACAGAGAGAGAGAGAGAGAGAGAGAGCAGAGAGAGAGAGAGACAGAGAGAGAGAGAGAGAGACAGAGAGAGACAGAGAGAGAGAGAGAGAGAGAGAGAGAGAGAGAGAGAGAGAGAGAGAGAGAGAGAGAGAGACAGAGAGAGAGAGAGAGAGAGAGAGACAGAGAGAGAGAGAGAGAGAGAGAGAGAGAGAGAGAGAGAGAGAGAGAGAGAGAGAGAGAGAGAGAGAGAGAGAGACAGAGAGAGAGAGACACACACACAGGAACAGATCAACTAACTGGGGGATCACCAGTGATGTCATCATCGCAGCGTTAAATGAAGTCTTTATATTACCTCCTTCCTTGCCTCCCTTCCCTCCATCCCTCCCGTCTCTCCCTTCCCTCTCTCCCTTCCTCCATCCCCCCCCTGTGTTACTTACCCCCTCCCTCCACCCTCCCTCCACCCTCCCCCCACCCCCCAGGGGGTCCGGCCCCCCCTCCCCCCCAAGAGTATTCCGCCCTCCTGAGTCCTCCCGCCGCCGCTAATTTACACAACCATCTGCAACGCTAACCAAGTGACCCCCGGCCTGACTGTGACCCCCCCTGTGACCCCCGGTGACCCCCGGTGACCCCCGGCCACTCACTCACCTCATCCTCACGTTACCCTCTGTGTGTGGACGCTCGCTTGACCTTTCCGCGGAGGCTCGCTTGGTCTGTGTGTGTCATGGCGGCTCGCCTTACATCTTGCGTCGTTCGTACGAGTCAATTAATAACAGAGCGAGAGCACTCACAGCACCCCCCCACCCCCCACTACCGGCCAGAATGGGTAAATGCTGGCCGGATGCCGACGCAGGATTCGGACGTGCTCTTGGACGTGGTCAGTTTCCGGCCAAAACTTTCAAAAGGTGTTCACTTTTACATTTCACTTTTGGCGGGAAAGACTGGCAGCGCGCGCCACAAATGGAAACAAAACAAATAACACCTCAAAGGTGTTTGTCTTATAAAAGTTATATGTTACAATTTGCCTGACTTTATGTATATATATATATATATATATATATATATATATATATATATATATATATATATATATATATATATATATATATTGTGTGTGTGTATGCACCTAGTTGTGCTTGCGGGGGTTGAGCTCTGCTCTTTCGGCCCGCCTCTCAGCTGTCAATCAACTGTTACTAAGTACTAACTACCTAATTTTTCACACACACACACACACACACACACAGGAAGCAGCCCGTAACAGCTGTCTAACTCCCAGGTACCTGTTTGCTGCTAGGTAACAGGCGCATCAGGGTGAAAGAAACGCTGCCTATTGTTTCTCGCCGGCGCCGGGAATCGAACCCCGGCTGTCCACTCAGACCCCGTTGTGTGTGTGTGTGTGTGTGTGTGTGTGTGTGTGTGTGTGTGTGTACTCACCTATTTGTGCTTGCGAGGGTGAGCTTTGGCTCTTTGGTCCTGCAAAGTGTGTGTGTGTGTGTGTGTGTGTGTGTGTGTGTGTGTGTACTCACCTATTTGTGCTTGCGAGGGTTGAGCTTTGGCTCTTTGGTCCTGCAAAGTGTGTGTGTGTGTGTGTGTGTGTGTGTGTAAATCACAGAGAAATAACCATGTGATGAACAATGTGACGGTGTCAGACCACGAAGGAAGGGTTAAGAAAGGAATTTCCTTAAGTACTTTCGTATTTAATAATACATCTTCAGAAGGATGGATTTACAGTTCAGTGGTGTGGATAATAGGCAGGACAGAGGTGAGGAACAATGTCTTTAATGAGATAATGAGATATTAATAAGGTATCAGAGAGATGGCATGATTTTGTAATCTATATTAAAGTCAGCCTTTAACTGGTCAATCAAAAATGGATCTAAATTATACCAACTACTGCTAATGTTGAAGTTACATGATTTTGTAATCTGTATTAAAGCAGATTCAATAATGTTTCTATTGAAAGTGAATTTACAATTCGTTATTGAAGGCACCATCTCCCAATCAGTTTGGTGAGAACTTTCTGACACATGACCAAACAAAGCATTAGACAACAGGTCACGTCTTATATGTTGCGAAAATCTGAATTTCAAATCTTTGAAAGTTGGCCCAACATAGAAGCTATTACAGTCTTTACAAGGTATTTTATAAATGACACAATTATCACTACGAGGACTGTTTCTAACTAATAGTTTACCAACAGTATTTTCGTAACTAAACAATACATGTATATCAGAAAGTTCCAAGGCCTTGACAATATTTTCGAACCCTGAAAAATATGTTAAACTTAAAACTTTTTTGGTGGGGGAATTTTCGTCACTGCATATATTATTATTATAATACGTACCATGTGCTTTGCTACGGCAAACATCCAAAACACTGAGTGGATAACAGAGCTCGAGACCAATAGTTTTTACGAAAGTTTGCCGTAGCAAAGCACGTCGTACATATTATAATAATAATATATGCAGTGACGAAAATTCACCCACCAAAAAAGTTTTATGTTTAACATATTTTTCAGGGTTCGAAAATATTGTCAAGTCTTTGAAACTGTTTGATATAAATATATTGTTTAACTACGATAACATAAGGCTTGAAAAGGATAGAGGACTGACCCGTGTAAAACTTCTCATCCCCCTGAAGGATTCGAACCCAGAAGGCCAGGGAGCTTCATGAACCTTAGCGTGTCCAGTACTGTCACCACTAGGCCACACTGACTGTACAAAAGTACTGAAAGTCATCTGACCATTAACCCAATACCCGACAGCACTCTGTGACCTTTTTAGCCACAGTTATCTCACCACATCACTTCATCATGTTGGAGCCGCTTAAGGAACAGTTGTGGCGCAAGCTTGAATGATCCCCAACCTTATATCCAACACAATATATAAATATATATATATATATATATATATATATATATATATATATATATATATATATATATATATATATATATATATATATTGTAAGGTAAGAGAGGAGGCGAGAGGGAACTCATCATGCCATACTGTGGCCGCCCCATCCTACCCTATTATCCACTCACAAAATATACATATCACCCCTCTCCTTGTTCTTCCCTCTGCAGTATAGAGGAGGATGACACCACACCACACTGAGAGAGCCGCCTCCTCTCTAACCAGCCCCCCCCCCCCACCTTCCTCTCTCAACTGGCCTCTGTATTTCTCTCTAAAACTGGATATTTAACACTGTGTATTTCACCAATCAATAGATATATAATAATCAGGGGGATTACAGCTGTCTTGGGGGATGTATACAGTATGTGTACACGTGAGGGAGTGAGGAGACAGGTGAGGGAGTGAGGAGACAGGTGAGGGAGTGAGGAGACAGGTGAGGGAGTGAGGAGACAGGTGAGGGAGTGAGGAGACAGGTGAAGGAATGAGGAGACAGGTGAGGGGGACCATGAGACAGGTGAGGGGGACCATGAGACAGGTGAGGGAGTGAGGAGACAGGTGAGGGAGAGTATGAGGGAGTGAGAAGACAGGTGAGGGAGTGAGGAGACAGGTGAGGGAGTGAGAAGACAGGTGAGGGAGTGAGGAGACAGGTGAGGGAGTGAGAAGACAGGTGAGGGAGTGAGGAGACAGGTGAGGGAGTAAGGAGACAGGTGAGGGAGTAAGGAGACAGGTGAGGGGGACCATGAGACAGGTGAGGGGGACCAGGAGACAGGTGAGGGGGACCAGGAGACAGGAGAGTGGGGACCAGGAGACAGGAGAGGAGACAGGGGGACCAGGAGACAGGTGAGGGGGACCAGGAGACAGGTGAGGGGGACCAGGAGACAGGTGAGGGGGACCAGGAGACAGGAGAGGGGGACCAGGAGACAGGGAGAGGAGGGACCAGGAGACAGGAGAGGGGGACCAGGAGACAGGTGAGGGGGACCAGGAGACAGGAGAGGGAGACCAGGAGACAGGTGAGGGGGACCAGGAGACAGGTGAGGGGGACCAGGAGACAGGAGAGGGGGACCAGGAGACAGGAGAGGGGGACCAGGAGACAGGTGAGGGGGACCATGAGACAGGAGAGGGGGACCAGGAGACAGGTGAGGGGGACCATGAGACAGGTGAGGGGGACCATGAGACAGGTGAGGGGGACCATGAGACAGGTGAGGGAGTGAGACAGTATACACACCAGGAGTGACAGTGGCAGCAGACGAGCCACACCACCCATCACCCTGGTGACCACACCAAGACTGGTCACTACAGCCTTGGTGACCACACCAAGACTGGTCAGTACAGCCTGGTGACACACCAAGACTGGTCACTACAGCCTTGGTGACCACACCAAGACTGGTCACTACAGTCTTGGTGACCACACCAAGACTGGTCACTACAGCCTTGGTGACCACACCAAGACTGGTCACTACAGTCTTGGTGACCACACCAAGATGGTCACTACAGCCTTGGTGACACACACCAAGACTGGTCACTACAGCCTTGGTGACCACACCAAGACTGGTCACTACAGTCTTGGTGACCACACCAAGACTGGTCACTACAGTCTTGGTGACCACACCAAGACTGGTCACTACAGCCTTGGTGACCACACCAAGACTGGTCACTACAGTCTTGGTGACCACACCAAGACTGGTCACTACAGTCTTGGTGACCACACCAAGACTGGTCACTACAGTCTTGGTGACCACACCAAGACTGGTCACTACAGTCTTGGTGACCACACCAAGACTGGTCACTACAGCCTTGGTGACCACACCAAGACTGGTCACTACAGCCTTGGTGACCACACCAAGACTGGTCACTACAGTCTTGGTGACCACACCAAGACTGGTCACTACAGTCTTGGTGACCACACCAAGACTGGTCACTACAGCCTTGGTGACCACACCAAGACTGGTCACTACAGCCTTGGTGACCACACCAAGACTGGTCACTACAGCCTTGGTGACCCCACCAAGACTGGTCACTACAGCCTTGGTGACCACACCAAGACTGGTCACTACAGTCTTGGTGACCACACCAAGACTGGTCACTACAGCCTTGGTGACCACACCAAGACTGGTCACTACAGCCTTGGTGACCACACCAAGACTGGTCACTACAGCCTTGGTGACCACACCAAGACTGGTCACTACAGCCTTGGTGACCACACCAAGACTGGTCACTACAGCCTTGGTGACCACACCAAGACTGGTCACTACAGCCTTGGTGACCACACCAAGACTGGTCACTACAGCCTTGGTGACCACACCAAGACTGGTCACTACATCCTTGGTGACCCCACCAAGACTGGTCACTACAGCCTTGGTGACCACACCAAGACTGGTCACTACAGTCTTGGTGACCACACCAAGACTGGTCACTACAGTCTTGGTGACCACACCAAGACTGGTCACTACAGTCTTGGTGACCACACCAAGACTGGTCACTACAGCCTTGGTGACCACACCAAGACTGGTCACTACAGTCTTGGTGACCACACCAAGACTGGTCACTACAGTCTTGGTGACCACACCAAGACTGGTCACTACAGTCTTGGTGACCACACCAAGACTGGTCACTACAGCCTTGGTGACCACTACTCCTGCTTCACCCTTCTACACCTCTCTACTTAACCCTATACTTGTGTATTTCACCCTGGTGCCCCTTGTGTCACACTATATCTGCCTCTCATTAACCTCACTCTACATATGTGATCCTACACGTATATATATATGTTTACTTTGGGAGCCGAGCGGACAGCACGCTGGACTTGTCATCCTGTGGTCCTGGGTTCGATCCCGGGCGCCGGCGAGAAACAATGGGCAGAGTTTCTTTCACCCTATGCCCCTGTTACCTAGCAGTAAATAGATACCTGGGTGTTAGTCAGCTGTCACGGGCTGCTTCCTGGGGGTGGAGGCCTGGTCGAGGACCGGGCCGCGGGGACACTAAAGCCCCGAAATCATCTCAAGGTAAGCTCAAGATAACCTTAAATGATGTGTATCACTTTAGAGTTGTGGTGGTTGTAAAGCTTGATATGTCTGGTTAATGTTGCAGGGTTAGTGGTGCCTGTGGTGTTTAGGCTTACCTGGTGACACCCAGATATATATATATATATATATATATACACCTGACTGTTGTGGTGTGTAGTGTGTGATGGTAGGAGTCAGGTGTGTGTGTGTGCGCTCTGGGCAATGGGCACTGGCGACACATGTTTCTCTCTCTCTCTCATAAGAACATAAGAACAAAGGTAACTGCAGAAGGCCTATTGGCCCATACGAGGCAGCTCCTATTTACAACTACCCAATCCCACTCATATACTTGTCCGACCCATTATCTCTCTCTCTCTCTCTCTCTCTCTCTCTCTCTCTCTCACACACATTTGTCCGTATATATTCCCTATTGTCATTACCCTCCTCAGTGTCACTTGTGGGTAGGACGTGTAGGGGAAGAGGGTGGATATGAGGGGAGGTGTAGGGGAGGGGCAGGCTAGGGGTAGGAGGTGGGATAGGGATAGGCAAGAGGTGTGGGGTAAAAAGACCGTTTTTGTATTTGATTTTTAAACTAGCCATTGGAGGGGTGTGGGGGGAGGAGAAGTAGAGATCTGGGGGAGGGGGGGGGCCAGGGGGGGGTCTGGGGGTAGGGGAGGGAGGGGGTAGGGGAGGGGGTAGGGTAGGGGGAGGGGGGGGGATGGCCAAACAGACAATCCACAAGGATAACACCGCCTGTGTTTGCGGCTGTTCTGCTTCAATTTAACTTCAATTACGCAAAACAAACATGGCCGCCAGAGCAAAGACCGTCAAAGGACATGTCCTCGGGGGTCCCTGGGGGGTCCTGGGGGTCTTCGGGGGTCCTGGGGTCCTGGGGGGTCCTGGGGGTGGGGGGGAGGCTGATCGCATGTCCTTCGTATTATCCGGAAGGGGAAGGTAGAGGTGGTGATGGGGGGGGGGGCGGGAGGGGAGTGATAATGGGGTGGTGGTTGTGGTGGTGGTGGGGGTGTAGTAGAACCCCCCACCCCCACCCCAGGCCCCCCCAACACTCGCATCTCCCCCACACCCCCGCTATAAAAGCAACACCCCCCCTATATAAGACAAGGTCAACTTAAATCCCTCCATAAGCTGCTTCACTAACGACCAGTTGGTGATGCAGTCATTATAGCCTCTACCCACCAGTGTTGCACCTCTGTAACGACCTCCTTCTCAACACAACATGTATAACATGTGTGACAACACATATGTTGGAATATTCAGTGTTGGTGTATTTCATTGTTCTGTTCTACGACTCTATTTACATATTGCACACATCTGCAGCATCTACTACCACTCCCACACCTGGTGTGTTGCTGTCTACACACCTGCAGCATCTACCACCACTCCCACACCTGGTGTGTTGCTGTCTACACACCTGCAGCATCTACCACCACTCCCACACCTGCTGTGTTGCTGTCTACACACCTGCAGCATCTACCACCACTCCCACACCTGGGAGTCAGACAGCTGCTACAGGCTGTATCCTAATGATACAGCCGGGTGTGTGTATATATATATATATATATATATATATATATTATATATATATATATATATATATATATATATATATATATATATAGTATATATATATATATGACAGTGTCAGACCACGGAGGAAAATTGAAACAGGAATTTCCTTATACTTTCGTATATTAATACATCTTCAGAAGGAGTCATTATATACGAATATACGAATATTAATATACGAAAGTACTTAAGGAAATTCCTGTTTCAATTTTCCTCCGTGGTCTGACACTGTCACATTTTTAATCACGTGTTTATTTTCGTGACACACACACACACATATATTATATATATTATATATATATATATTATATATATATATATAATATATATATATATATATATATATATATATATATATATATATATATAATATATATATATTGTAGACAAGATAAAGGAAATAAATATCTATATATGAAGAGTACACAAGTCTTGGAGCTGAAGAAAGGGGGGAGGGGGGTTAAGAGGGGGTGGGGGGTTAGGAGGGGGTGGGGTTAGGAGGGGGGGTTAGGAAGGGGGGGTTAGGGGGTGGGGGTTAGAGGGGGTAGGGGGTTAGGAGGGGGTGGGGGGGTTAGGAGGGGGTGGGATTAGGAGGGGGGGTTAAGAGGGGGGTTATGAAGGGGTGGGGTTAGGAGGGGGTGGGGGTTAGGAGGGGGTAAAGGTTACGAGGGGGGGTTAGGAGGGGGGGGAGGGGGAACAGTACCATTAATCAGAAGCCTGGAGTCACCCCCTCCTACTCTCCCCCCCCCCACCCCCCTGGAGTTATCTCCGGCCCAGCATATTCTTAAGACACCGCTCAAGTAATGAGGGGTTGTGACTTGAGCGTGAGGGTCATCCATCAGTAGAGGTGGGCGACGTCTACCATCCATCAATCCATCAATCATAAATTATTCATAAATGTTCCCTTTTCTACACGTATAGTTTACAGTAAATTTACAGTAAATTATGTACCCTGAGAGTAAGTTGTAATAACAGTGTGTAATACATGTTGTTATAAGGGGAGCCGGTCGGCCGAGCGGACAGTACGCTGGACTTGTGATCCTGTGGTCCTGGGTTCGATCCCAGGCGCCGGCGAGAAACAATTGGCAGAGTTTCTTTCACCCTATGCCCCTGTTACCTAGCAGTAAAATAGGTACCTGGGTGTTAGTCAGCTGTCTCGGGCTGCTTCCTGGGGGTGGAGGCCTGGTCGAGGACCGGGCCGCGGGGACACTAAAGCCCCGAAATCATCTCAAGATAACTCTGTGCTCAAGACATATATCTTACCTGTGTAATCACCTCTGTCACCTTATACCTGGTTAATACCTGGTTGATGGGGTTCTGGGAGTTCTTCTACTCCCCAAGCCCGGCCCGAGGCCAGGCTTGACTTGTGAGAGTTTGGTCCACCAGGCTGTTGCTTGGAGCGGCCCGCAGGCCCACATACCCACCACAGCCCGGTTGGTCCGGCACTCCTTGGAGGAGTGCTTATATTGTAGTTGTTTCTTGATACAATACCTTGCTACAATCCATCTTTTCACCTCACCTGGTATGTTATGTTAAGAAGCTGGCTGAGACGCTGAGGGTGTTAGTGGCTGTGTGTGAAGGTGAAAATACCAGTTTATGTGTCTTCACCCACCCAGTGTACCTTCTTGTGGGTAAATTATTATTATTATTATTCTATGTCCGTAGGTCACCACGTAACGCTCCCACACTAAAGTGCATTAGGCAGTGATGTGGTGGAGGCTGACGCCATACACAGTTTTAAATGTAGATATGATAGAGCCCAGTACCTGTTGACTGACGGTTGAGAAGCGGGACCAAAGAGCCAGAGCTCAACCCCCGCAAACACAACTAGGTGAGTACAACCATATCAGTACACCCTCAGCCACTGAGGCACTCACAACACTGCCAAACCAGATATAACAACCATCTACAACTCACAACACACAATGGGTGGAGGGAGGAGCGCACAAGACTACAAAGGGAACTACAAGATGAGCTGCAAGATCTGTGCAATAGAGAATATAACAAATCAATAGGATGACCTAGTGAGCAAAATCCAAGTCGACTACACACACCCAGGAAAGTTCTGGACAAAATATACACCGTGCTGGGAGCCCCGGACGAGGAACAACCCTACATCATAGACCGGAGCCGGTCGGCCGAGCAGGCAGCACGCTGGACTTGTGATCCTGTGCTCCTGGGTTCGATCCCGGGCGCCTGCGAGAAACAATTGGCAGAGTTTCTTTCACTCTATGCCCCTGTTACCTAGCAGTAAAATAGGTACCTGGGTGTTAGTCAGCTGTCACGGGCTGCTTCCTGGGGATGGAGGCCTGGTCGAGGACCGGGCCGCGGGGACACTAAAGCCCCGAAATCATCTCAAGATAACCTCAAGATAGACGCCTCAGGACACAAACTCTACGAGGAGAGAGAACAAGAACAGGAAATCAGGAAGTTTTTGGAAAAAAATATTCAGGATAAACCCGGAAGAAAATTTAAACTTTTGCCCCATTAATGAAAGGTAAATGATTACGAAAGTCGATAAGAGAGCTGCAGCAGTACTCCCGACGCTAACAATAGACCTTAACAACATACACAATGACTGCCACCTTATGAAACACATCACCATCGCAGAGGTCCATAACACAATTATGGGTTTCCAGAACAAGGCGGCGAGCAGCAGCAAGATAAATAAGATGGTATTATCCTGCCAGTGATTGCACTCCATCAATACACATGTATCTTAAATGCAGCTCTTGCATCTGGACTATTCCCCACATACTTCAAGAATGCCATAATAAGATTAATAATCCCCAAGCCAGGTAAACCTCCAACCCAAACTGAAAACTACAGGCCAATTTCCCTCCTCGAAGTACCAGGTAAAATATTAGAAAAAATTATCAATCAGAGACTTGTGAAGTACATGGGCCCATACAGCTATAGTCCTGGTCTACCAGCATATAGCAGAGGAGCCCATACAGCTATAGTCCTGGTCTACCAGCATATAGCAGAGGGGCCCATACAGCTATAGTCCTGGTCTACCAGCATATAGCAGAGGGGCCCATACAGCTATAGTCCTGGTCTACCAGCATATAGCAGAG